TAAGTTTCCTTATTGTTCTTATTTTGCTTAAGAATTCCTCGTTTTTCGTATGTTCCACCCATAGCATTCTTAGCATTCATTGGTAGAACCACATCTGTGTTGCTTCAAGTCTCCTTTTCATCTGTGAGGAAATCATGCAACTTTCACTTACCACATATTACATCGCAGTTCGGCTTTCTTCTCTTTGTTTGTATCTATATTTTCGCAATTTTCCTAATACTTTGCTTAGTTTCTAGATGGCATCTTACGTTATTCCAATACGCCTTTCGGTTTCCGTGTCACATTTTCCGTCGTCTATATTACTACACTACCTAGATAATTACATTCCTGTACAAACTTAATTTTAATATTGCCACTACGTAGCTCAAAACACTTAGATTCAAGTTAAGCAAGACAACCAGTGCCGTTTGCTGCGTCGCACGACACAAGAGGTGATCTCCATTTCCAAAAAATATCCACGGAGACCTAACACTTATGACCTTTTACAGGGACAGGATTCTATGAGGAAATGCATTACATAGCTAATAGGCTCCACTATGCCTTGCTATTTACTCATAGATGAATGGGAAGTGGATTCATGCCTTTCCAAGTAGCAACAGCTAAAATGGTTAGCACATGTAACTCGAATATTGACTTTATCAAAATCTTGACGTTTTACTTTACCCCAAAGAAAAGTCAAGTAAAGAAAACCCCATCACTACTCTACTCCAAACAAAATGCAAGGAAGGAAGATCATCAATGCTGGGAAGAGAATTCACAGGGAATGAATACGAGAAAACTACTTTCCTGATTAATTGTTTTAAGATAATGATTTTAATAAATTAAAATCGACAGCAAGGTCAATGAATTCCGACTGTTTACTTATAAGGAAACAGATAGTATTACTATTACCTTTTATTATTTTGGCAATATATTGCATCACTCAGAAATGTAGTTCTGTCGAGAGCCTAGATTTTGCTGTCTGCAACTCTTAGATTTTTCCAAAGCAAAACTGGAGGTTGTTCCAATAACTCGAATCGATTTTAAACGTGAATTAATTTTAAGCGTCAATGATTTTTTTTTCTTTTTCTTTCAGGTTTAACAACTTAAGTCTTTGGCAATTTCAACCATGGAAAGATTAACAATTAAACAACGTGTTAAAGTTATGGAAGCCTATTACGAAAATGGACGTTTAAACAGAATATGAATGAGAAGTTCCCAGGTCGCATCATTCCTCTAAACAGCGAAGTCGATTGGCCACCACGATCGTGCGACTTGACGCCTTTAGATTTCTTCCTTTAGGGTCATCTCAAAAGCAAGGTCTATTCCAACAAGCCAACAACAATTCAACAGCTGAAGGATGAGATAATAAGGCACATTGGTGAGATCGAGGAGCAACTAGGCAGAGATGTCATCAAACATTTTGACCATCGAGTGGAGGTGTGCCTCCGAAGCCTTGGCGGACATTTGGGTGATATTATTTTTCACACATAATTGCCATGACTTAAATAACATGCTCCAAATAAATAAATTTTCCCCAATAACACTGATTTATTTACTGCTGACTTTGATCCGTCTTAATGAAATAGCCTTTATCTGCTAAAAGAGAGATTTACTAATTATGTAGATAAGATAACCTCGCCTATTATGGTGTTAGATTCGCCTTTAAATAAGCAATTAATATTCAACCTAATTACAATTAACAATAGATCAAGTAGTGCCTAATAATAGTTCATTTAAATGATCTGTTTGTTCCATGAGGTCTGAGCTGTACTTGAGATTGATTGCATTGATATTTTAGTCAATTAGGCCTATTGGATTTAGCCAGTTGTTTTATGCAAATCGTTGTCTAGTAGATACTTTACTTCTGATTAATGAAAATCTAGTCTCTTTGTACCAAATTTTAAATGCGTCCATTTATAGAAACGCTGGTGAAGAATTCTTTCATTTGCGAATGCTAGTTTTCATCATTGTCTCCTTCCAAGAGCGTGGACCCGGTAAATGGTAGTGAAGGCAATTGCCTCAAGCAGTATTTGAACTTCGATTTTATTCGTCGTGTCATTAACTGTTAAACCACCGCACCTCATTATTTGCGTTGTCGTCTGAACTTTTCCAAATGTAAAATTGTCATTATTCATTTTTGACTAAATTTTCGTAAATAATGCCTGTAGCTATTTAACTAACATTGAATTTCGCCTCCTGATGGGCTTTGACAACCAAATTGATAAGGCGCTGTCCATGAATTTACTACCTTTTCAGCTATCAGATAAATAGCAAGGCAACTGGGGGCCTCTTATCTTATCGTGGACGTAGTTCTGTAAAAAGATATCAGTTTAAAACTCGTCGGAAGATACGTCTTTATTTTTTTTTTTAATAGTCGTAGATTCTAAAAACGACCTGAACGTTGTCATAAAATAGAACGCAATTATGATAAAAGATACATTTGCGTTAAATTAAGATTTTAAAATGTTTCCACCCTAACCTCATTCCATTTATTTGGAAGACATTTTTAAAAAAAAGCATTAAAATTCTCGGTATAATATCTGATAAATGTATTTTATAAAGCAAAGCTGATTCTCTTTATGACTTTTCATGCGCGTATCAAATGTATTTGTCTGCGTTGTGCTTAAGTTAATTAAATGCTTGTATCAGTTAATGCACACACAAATACGAACAATTTGACTTACTTTGAAAAAAGACACTGAAATAATACTTTCCACTTTCACTCAGCCTGGACAATTCATTCCCTGATCTGAGCAATAAAATTATAAAGTTGGTAATATAAAAAAAGGTTTAATTTATAAGATTTGTTGATAATTATAAGTCTTTATTAAACCGAGATTATTCGATAATAAATAAAATTTTATTTTAAAGCTTTTTAAAAAAATCTTGTGAAAATATTTTTCAGTCTGCTATTGAATTAATTTATACATATGCACGCAAGCAAAAACACGCAAGTTTAATGAAATTCAAATAAATATCTGAATCACGAGAGTTAATTCCCCTTCCTGTCTGGTAACAGACCCTGGGTAACAAGAAAAAACATATAAGCTGGGATTTTCACGTCATTTTTATAATTCAAGGTTAATCCCTTGATGATATCCAGTAGGTCAGTTTCGAAACCAAATAATTGCTTAATAATTGGTGCTGTTTTTAAGCTTTTAAAACCATAATTTTCGTGTTCACACAATTGTTCCTCGTCTTGAAGAAAGAAATAAGCTTTCCATCTCATTCTTCTGATACGGTTTTCAGTTTGCTGAGTTAAATGGACGAAATAATCCCTTTTGTTCGTGGTGGGAATGTTCTTAAGTGATAATCCGAAATTGATTCTATCCATAGTATAAGAACAGAATAGACAGTGCTCGACAGTAATAGGAGCTAATATCCAAGTATATGATTGGTGTATACGGTTTTAAACTAAATATATTTTCTAATAAATATAAAAAATTTACATTTGAAATTTGCTGATCATGCCGTCAATGAAGCAACAGGTAACGAACAAGTAGATATAAAATACAAAATACATAATACATTAAAATGAATCAACAGTAGACAACATATTTCAGTGTGTAACAAAGATTACCTGGCCTGAATTTGTAATTCATGTAATGATCACGGTTGCACCTCCATTAAAATCACTAAACTATGTCTTTTTGTTTTAGAGAGAAGTTGTGTTTCGGGTGCTCTCCTTTTTTTTTTTCTTTTTTTTTTTTTTCTTTTTTTTTTTTTTTTTGACTCTTTTCACCCCAAACAAGGCAATAAAGCTACTAGGACGCAAGGTTTTACTGAAGCTTAGAGAACATAAAAAACTACTATAAATGAGTGAGGACAATAAAAGAACAAAAATTAAAAATACGAAAGATAACGACTGACATTGCATTTAAATTTTTGAAGATCAAAGTTTACTGGAAAACAAGAAGAAAGTTCCACAAGCGAGAAGCGCAATAGAAGAAATTGTTAGTATTGAGCTTACGGTTACATATAGCCATTTCAGTTGTAAAATGACGAGACCTTATTGCCAATCTAGTACTGCGCTCAAATTCATAAAGTCTAGGTACCATAGCAGAATGAATCAGACAATTACCATGAAAAGTATTTATAGAATACATACGTTACGGTGGTGGGAGAGGGACTGATGCTAAAATGCCAGGTCAAGATCAATAACATTGCAGATTCTTTTTTGGATTTTATCAAGAATCTCTAAATATAAGAGCGCCAAACTAGATGTGACAGAAAGATTCAAAGATATATTTTGGAAAGAAAAATTGTCTAGCACGACATAGTGAACCTAATTTCCTAGCAGTAGACCTAGCAATTGATTCAGTATACTCTTTCCAGTTCATGTCAGCTGAAAACGTGAGCTAAAGCTTTTAAAGGAAAATCTCTAAACAACATTCAAACAAAGACACATGTCCAGGCGGCATGGAAATAACGTGTGATGTTATTGCCAGTCGCTCCCATCAATCCCAGTAGTCGTAAAAAGTAGTCGTAAAAAGTAGATTTGGAGAGAATGTCAAATAAGACTGAACCAGTTTATGTGACATACATAGAAAACAATTTATAACTAACAAATAATAAAGAAGAAATATACACGTGTAGTTTGTATATAAAATGTCCGTACTTAAAATATACAATTGTGAGAGCCATTTTAGGACGATGAAATGTGTCCCGGTTGTGAGAGATTCATTTTATAGACGCTAACACGTAGTTCTCTCAACAACGACAAAAAGAGCCGAGTCACGTGACCAATGCCCGGAAGAAAAAGGAAAAAAAAAAGAGAGAAAAGGGTTCCTGCTACTTTTATACGCTTTTGAATTGCACCGTGGGAGCCAAAGTAATGTCTATTTTTGGCCACGATTTTAATTTCCGCTAAAACCCACAATTGTCCCTACATCGCATTATATCAAAGAATTTGTCCATTAACATCAACATTATGTCAATTCGACCGGATAATTACAATTTTCAACCTTACCAAGTTCTCTTTATATATTTAGGCTTACAGCGGCTTTCGGACACATTATGTTGAAACACCGGTTCCTGTACAATCATCGAAGTTAAACAACGTTGGGCCTGGCCAGTACCTAGATGGGTGACCGCTTAGGAATATCAGCCGCTGTAAGATAGTATTTTCCAGTGGTGTAATGAATAATGGCTCGGAAATATTAATTAGAGAGCCGAGTTCCAATTCCATTTGGGTTTGTTATATTCACTTATGAGCAAATACGCTTTTGGAAAGGTATAAATCCACCATTACTCCCCTCCAGCTATGGGTTAATTAGTAAGACTTTTATCACAAAATCATAATCCCCCCCCTAAAAAATATCTTACAATCTAATAAATATTTTCTGATTTTGAATAACCTGCAAGGGGTTGATAAATTGTAAAAAACTAATCAATCAAATCGATGATCAGTGCATTTGTGTACTTATAAAATAGGTTCTTTTTTATTTCTTGGGGGGATGCAGTTTTTTGGATACATGTTTGTACTAGTGAGCCAACCAAAATGAGCTGACTCATTTTATAGTCCACCAAGAGAAGGGTTAACCAATCAGAAAGCTCAAAATATTCAATCCGACGTGTATAAAGGCAGCCATTTTGTTTTTTCTCCCAAAATATCTTCACTGCCAACCTGATATCGAAGACTTAAAGAATTACTTAACAGCCGCTACTTTCTCTGAATCTTCACCGGCAACCTCTGATATTGAACACATTACGGACTTCACTGGATTCCATATTCAGTGACTACGGCAAACATCGTCAACAGGGGGTGCAATAATCTAAGTAAATGGTGATTTTTTAAGACATCGTAAATTTTTCTGTTTTATATATAGAGAGGAAACAATAGAATCAATTTATAAAGGAAAACAACCATGTCCTTAATACCTGTTATTGCGTAACAACTACAGTCTTTCCAAGGTGAATTAAACTCTGCATTACATTTTATTTTATATTTGATGTTTTTATTTAATCGATATCACTCCATACAAAGCAGTAAAGCCACTAAGACACAAAGGTTCACAAGGTGTGGAAGAATTAAGAACAGAAACTGTTGTATCGTCGATGTGAATGATACACAGAGAAGAATGAGTATACTTATTCAGCACCAGTATCCGGTGCTAATAGATACATACAAAAAACACAGAACAATAAGTTACAAAACAATTAACAAGACAACTTACAAGGAATAGAGGAGGGTCAAATTCAGTATAGCCAAAAGAAGTGAGATCAGTTTGAATATTAGTCAGCTTAGTATCAAGTTATTAATTAACTGTTGAAGCCCTTAATCGTAGACTATTTAAGGCTATAAGCCAGGTCATCTGGTAGAGTGCTGAAGTGGTACTAGCTACTCAACAGCAGAAACATTAATAACGAACGAGAAGAGAAAAGATTAATCAGGTGGACAGTAGATAGCAATTGTCATTGCATTTAAATTTTTAAGTTAGTTGGAAAGTAAATATTTGTAAAATCCAGCTTGGCAAACGAGGATCAGCTGATATATCATCATCATCATTATTTTTATTATTATCCTCCTCCTCCTCCTCCTTCTTCTTCTTCTCCTCCTCCTCCTCCTTCTTCTTCTCCTCCTCCTCCTCCACCTTCTTCTTATTCTCCTCCTCCTCCACCTTCTTCTTCTTCTTCTTCTTCTTCTCCTCCACCTTCCTCCTCCACCTTCTTCTTCTTCTTCTCCTCCTCCTCCACCTTTTTCTTCTTCTTCTTCTTCTTCTTCTTCTATGTGTTGTGTCCTTTCACAGCTTTCCACATCCTCCGCAGCCCTTAGCAATATCTGTCCCTTTACTATCCTTCCCATGATATCGTTAGGTAACATATTAGAATATAGAATATTTCCTTCTGACCCTCTTAGCTTCAGTATGTCCCGTGAGTGTCTAATTTTACAATCCTTCTTTTCTCAATATGTGTTCGCAATGATTCAACTGCATTTTCTGATTCTATGCATAAGTGCCCTCTTTCCTTTCCATTTACCTTAAAATTTCGTTTTTTATATGCTCAACCCATGGTATTCCCAGCATCCTTCTGTAGAACCACATTTCTGTTCCCTCAAGTGTTGTCTTCATCTACAGAGAAAATTCCCCGCATTTATTACAATATCGGAGGGTTGATATTACATAGCAGTTTTAATCTTATTATTGGTGTTATTATTGCTTTTGATGCGAAGAAAAGGCCGCGTCAGATACGCGAGTGTCTCTCGGAAATATGTTGCTGTTTCTCATCTGTTTCGTGATCTTACTTTTCCTCTCTCTTACACACACACACACACACACACGCACATAGAGTGAGAAAGAAAGAGGCACCACGTTCTTTGCTGTGTCTTGAAAATTGTTTCTAGTTTTCATAAGTGCATGAATAATTAGTTTTTAAGCTGCTTGAACGAAGTAAAAAGTCCTTGGTGAATAAAAGAATGAAGACAGATGAGTGAAGGAAGTTAAACAAAGAAATAAATAATGAAAGTGGGGAACGTTTAAAATGATTTAATAAAAAGTAATTTCTGTCTGAATTTCTGGGGTGAGGAGTGATTATTTTCATAAAACGGGCAAGCAATAAAAGACTAAGCACTAAAAAAATAAGAACTAGATGAGATATCCCCAGACAGTGGAACAAGAACAGTCTACTCCCTGCCATAAATTAAATAATGGTTTCAGTTCAGAATTCCCTGTAATCACCCAGATCGATATACACCTGATGAATGCCGGAGTGTACAACGGCCGAAACGTTGTGATAACAGCAACAAATATGAGGACAATAGTCTGAATGTAAATAATAAAAATAATGATAAAGAGTGATCTTTAATGATATCTAAAAATCTTCAGGGCGTATGCGATCATGGCTGCCCACATATTCCTTTTCTTTATTATCTGGGAATTTCAGTGATGTCTTGAGAAAGATGAAGCAGTGGTTTCCCGTTGCTTTCTCGATGTAGATGTTTTTTCGCAGCTTTCATTCTCTTAGACTGTTTACCGCCCAAGACAAGAAAAGTATACCCTGCTAATTAAGCTAGAGGCAGCAGAGAGGGTTTCATGCCTTTCCTCAGGGTATTTGGGCGAAAATGAATTTGAACTCCTGTCATCGATTTCAATTTCTGCGCCCATACATGTGACACTATCCGCACTTCCAAACAGAAATTAAATGGGAGAAGAAAAAAACAAAGGTAAGCATAAACCAAGAAAAGGCTGGAATGAAAATATAATATATATATATATATAAATATATATATATATAATAAAAAGGCTTAAACACTAATATTCCATGGTCATTAGTGTTTAAGCCTTTTTTATTATATCCTTACTCTGTCCTAGACATTGAGTTCTACCTGGATCCTTCCTCTTGGAAAATTTTTTTCTGAAAATATACATGTATGGGAATTTTATATTTTTATATATTTGCATATGTATGTATATTTTCTACTAATATTATCTATCTATCTATCTATCTATCTATCTATCTATCTATCTATATATATATATATATATATATATATATATATATATATATATAAAAAGTAAAAAATTGTGGCAATCTTAAGCTTTTGCACTCGCCAAACAAAAAAGAAATGGTCTCTCAAAAGAATGTTTTTTTTTCCGTTATAAATAAAGTGTTTATTATCATTGTTGTCAATTCTCAAGAACAAAGGAAATGCATAAATTCATTTTCATATCTTTAGGTTTTATTATAATTTTAATAGTCGTTTTTAAAACAATTAAGATTGCCGATGAGTGAAGGTAGTTAAAAATATAGCGGTGTCTAGGGAAAACCCGTCCATTTTATACAGTGTGTTTTTTTTTTGTTTTTTGTTTGTTTTTTTCGAACATGAAAGTTAAATATTGCCTTTTTATGAACTAAAAATGAAAAAAAGAAGGCTAGAAATAAATAAAAAGAAAGGAATCAAAGACAAAGTAAATAAACCTGAGATAATATATATATATATATATATATATATATATATATATATATATATATATATATATATATATATATATATATATTAAAGACATTTTTATGTTTAACGTTGTTATTTTATAGATGAAAAATAGAGCAGTTATGAATGTACGAGATTCATGGAAGATTGGAGTTTATAAGCAGTAAATTCGACCTTGTCTACCGATTGGTTCTTTGTAGCCTAGAGGTAAGGCACGTCAGCGTATATGACGGTTCCGTATAGGATGCAGGTTCGAATCCTGTCAAAGAACGAATATTTTCTATGAAAATTTCTCGGACATTCAGGCCGGTAAATGTTATTTAATACTGTTTATCATAAACAGAGCATTTGCTTAAATACTTGTATCTATAAAATAACAATGTTAAACATAAAAATGTCTTTAATAAATAAATTGTCGGACCTTGTCCATTTCTTTATATATATATATATATATATATATATATATATATATATAGTGTAACCCGGATATAAGAGAGATTTTCTCTGGTCCCAAATTAGAGCCTGTGTTAATGTATATGAAATAGACCAAACCCGGATATAAGAGACTTCTTCTCCGGTCCCGACAACTCTCTTATATCCGGGTTATACTGTATATGTATATATATATATATATATTTGAATAAAAGACAGACCACGTTAAGATTCCATGTAATAAGCTATTTCACCATAACCCCTTTTACAGGGTTCTGAATCATCAGACTTTACTTCCAAAAGCTGAAATAAAAAATGAAAAGAAATTCACACGTTTTTTTACGGACCTCATCAAGTATACGCAAAGTTAACGAAGTGAGGAAGTGAGGGGGGGAGAGGATATGAGTGTGTCATATGTATCATTTTAGTTTCCTATTTTAACCCCAGTGTGTCGGATGGATGTTGCTCAAATCTAACGCGTCTCGTCTCTAGATAAAGGTGGTTAAGGGATGAGCGATAAGGACTACATTAAGGAAGACGTTACAACAACCCCAATAAATTACACGACAGGTAATATATATATATATATATAAGAAATAATGTTATTTTATATATCCCACGTGGGTAAAAATAGAGGAAAAAGAAGTTGAAAATGCAATTGGAATCTTTAAGAATATTTATTTAGAATAACTTTACCTGTTTCACAGTTCTATGATTTTCGAAAGTTAAACTGACGTGTGGTTATGTCATGGTAG